TATCTCATTTCTATTTTTGTTTTACTCACTAAAAAACTAAGTAAACCATCTGTATAAAAAACTAAGCTATCTAAAGTTTTATTTTGATCTAAAGCTATGTCTAAGTAATTTATCTTTAACTATTCTATTTATTAAATATATTTCCTATCTCATATAATCTACAACTACCAATTCTCTTTTCTTAACTTCTTATACCTTATGTGCTATTATTCTAATTTTTCTGTATTTCTTTTTTTCTTAACTGCTTTTTCTAAAGAATGAGTGCTAAAGATTATTTGTAGGTTATTTTCTGTTTTTTGTACTAAATTTGTTATATCATTTAGTTTTTTGCATTTTACTATAATAGGTATTTGGCTTTCAACATTGCATATTCTTTTCAATTTTTTTTGATTTTTCTAACTTTAATATATATATGATCTTTATTCTTCTACAAAACTCATTCTTTTATTCTTCTATCTTCTTTTACTTTCTTTAGAACTATCTTGAGTGTGTTTGAATTATTTGTCTCAAGTTTATACTTTGATTTGATTTCTCTTGTTATTGGGTTTTCAATCATTTCTTTCTCCAATTTGTTAAACTATTTTGCTTTTTTCTCTTTAAGATCTTGATTATATACCAGTTTTATTTGTTTTTACATATATATTGTATTATTATTTTTTGTCAAAAGCTATAATATCAACCAGATTTCCATTTCGCTTGCAGTTGATTTTTCATATAAGATCTGTTCTTTTTTTAAAATTTTTACAATTTCATAATCATTTAAGGCTTGAGATATATTTGATTCCAACTTCTTGTAAGATCATTTTCTTCCATTAAAAAACCTAATGATTTTGCTTGTTGTAAAATCTAAATACTCAAATTTCTTAAGTTTAGATTTCTACTTCCTAATAATCTGTTAAGATATACTTGAATAAATCTATCTTTAACTGTCCTTGTTTTATTCTTATTACTGTTGATTTTTCCAGAAGCCCAACTGAGTTTAATTTCACTAATAGCTCTAAAAAATAGTGCTCTATATGTCTATTCCACAAGCTTTTAAAATTTACTACTTCTGGATGTTTTGTTATTGCATTTGTTGCTATGAATGACATTGATATTTTCTTCTTTGTAAGACAAACCATATATTATTTTAAAAAATTAATTAAATATTTACTACTACTGTATATATAAAAAATATAAATTATAACTAATTTTTACCCATGGTCAACACATTTCAACTCTTTCTAACGATCACTTGGACCAAATTTTCTGATAAAAAGAAAAACCTATTTTTAATACTGGAGAGTAGTAACTTGTAGTGAGGTGAATCAACAGGGCAGTTTTTATAAAGATCAACCTTTTCTAAGTTTGGGGACTCCTTTATATATTCAACATGCAAGCCAAAAGCATCTGTATACAAGATAACTGGCAGAAGATAGTACCCTTGTATATGAAATTTTGGTGGTTAGGTGGAGGTAATATAGTTCAAGCCTTCCGTCGATGAAGCTATCGGTTGCAAAACAACTAGGAAACAGTAAAGAATGTGTTTCTTTTAAGCCACACTCTTTCTTTTTGGCCAAGTAGTGCCTACTATCTTTTTTTCACTTCTCTGCCTTTCTTTCAAAATTTTTTAACAAAAAGTGGGGATTTGGCTTACCTCCTCCAAAAGATCGGCATTGTTTATTTTCTAAATTCGGACAACCTAATGAATTGCAACTACGTGTTTTACAAATACGGCATGTTAGGATCGGGCCCTGGCATGGAACCCCTAATAACGGCAGCAGGTGGCTTGAGATACAGGTCTATGGACGGCGGCAGTATCTGGCTCGAGATACAAATTAGGATGTGCATGACATAATTATTCGGAGTCGGTGGAAAGCTCAGAAAGAAAAATCAGATGTTAAGACAAAGCTTTACAACAGAGATATACAAATGTTGCATTTGTTATATAATTTTTATATTTACCTGGCACAGGTTATAATAGTGTATTTTGTATTTCTTTTCTTTTTTTGGATGCGTCTACCAGAACTATCCTATTCTTTTTTTTTGCTTCTTTTATCTCTTTCCTATTATGTTAGAATTCTGTTTAGAATTTATTTTTTTTAGTTACGTTTTTTTTCTTTTCTTTTTTCTGTTTTTCTTTTTCTTTTCCTAGATATAGTCTTTTCTTTCGTAAATGTGACATATTTTTTGTTTCTTATAGAAAAGTAAGAGATTAACAATTCTGCCTAGATCTAGGTGGAAAAAGTTTTAAAGAAGGAATAGATAGTCTTAATAGGCTAGTAGAAACCTTCCAGTGAAGTTTTATTTTTCTTCAAGTGTAGAAGTAGATATTATGGAGAAGAATTCTGCCTATAGCAGATCACACATGGGTAATTTGGACTTTGGTTACAAAAAACCAGATGAGTTAATACTTGTAATTTAGGCATCGTTTAAATTTGTCCTTTATAGTCTTGTTTTTTAAAAATTTGCAATATTTCTCAGTATAATATTCCAAGCCTAATAAAGTAGAGGCAAGATTGCTGAATTGTTTTAAAAAAATTTTTACCCATAGTAATATTATAAAATTTTTATTAAAATAAATTTACATATAGTTAAAATTAGAATTAGGCTTAAGGTTAGAGCTTGAATAAAAAAGTTTATATATGTAAAATTCAAAGCTGAGAACTATTGCTTTAATAAAATTTAGAGTTATTAAAATTTTTTTAAATTTTTTCTTTTCTTCACTTTGTTTTAGTTATATGAAATTTAGCGATCTGATTGGTTTTTATACAACTAGGTAATATCATCTAGGGTAAAAGTTAGCAATATTCAAAAATATATATTGTTTATAAAATTACCGTAAATGGCCATATAAAAGACCTCCCTTGATAGTAGACCCCCCACTAATATACCCAGGTCTAAACCAGGGTTAAAAATTTAGTGGAATATAAGAGATCCGGTGTTTTTTATTAGTAATTTATATTTAATAAGAAGAAATCCACTCATTACTATATCCCCTCTCCGAACAATATACCCCCGGGTATAATTCAAGTTCTTTAATTGGTGGAATATAACATACCCGGGTCGAGCATAGCGGGCATTAAATTTGATTGGATGATCACCCAAAATGTTACACAATATGAAAGACATATTGGCGTAATGTTTCACAGGTACAAAAGTGGATTGGCAGCTACGGATATGAATTGGCAAAGCTTGAGACCTAAAAAAATCAAAAGAATAGCTTCCGATTTATTAACTGTTAAAATAATTTGAAAAATAGCAAGGTAATTCAGAACTTAGCTAAGAAGGGTTTATTTGCAATTTTGTTACAGGTATTACTGAAAAAGAACAGTAGAAGCGAGAATGTCTGCACAAGAAACTTTCCACAAAGATCCAACCGTCCCTACCAAACAAAAAAGCAAAAGAAGAGCCCAATACTGTGATTTGGAGGGTCAGGAAGATATTATTTACAACTATGAGAAGCATGGTGCTTCAATTGTGTCTGATCGGGTAGTAATTCCAAGCACAAGTCAGCATCTTGATCTGGTTGGCAAAGCTTTGTGCAGGAGGCATTATAATAAATTAATAGTAAATGCCAAGAAAGCAAAAAAGGTATGTTCTCATTCAACGCATCAGATTTATCTTTCTACAGGTTCAGAAGCGAAATCTATGAAGAAGGCACCAGAACATTTGATCGAATTCTTCCAACTACTACAAGAAGCAGTGATGTGCCGTTACTGCTTATATAAAACTGACAATGATACAGAATATATTAATTTGCCTAACTACTTAATGCCAATAGAAAGGGTTTCGAAAGAAGATATAAGAAATTTTTAAGGTAGGTCTTACATATTACGAGATGAGATTATTTATTCTCAATCTCAATTTCAGGAATTAGAATCTGCATACCATGAAGTTTGTGTAGAACTTGATAAAGCAAAGTTAGGTAAGTAAATTATATTAAAAAAAATTTATTAGCCATGAGTGCGTTAACATTATGAAATTTGCCTAATTTATTTATTATTTTTTAGAATTGGTTTCTTTTAGCAAAAAAATTAAGTTGATGGTGGGGGTATTATACACAAGGCAGTATGTGTATAATAAGAATCTGATTTTTGATCCGGAAAAGTTCAAGAAAATGCTTGAGGAATCGGAGCTATTATTGAGAGGTTTTTTCGATCAATTATTTGTTGGGACTAATCCAAAAGCAAAAAGACATATGACTAATGAAAAAAATAAGAAAAAACTTGTTTCTTTTTGTTACTTTCTTGCAGGTTTTAACAATAAATTTATTAACGGGGTTAAAGCGGAAGTCAGATACTTATTAGATGCATCTGGAACATCGTCATCAGCAATAGAAACCTTAGCTAATGCTGGTCTGACAATACGGCGTAAGACTATTGCGCGTCAGAAAACTCAGCATGCAAAAACGCAGGCGACATCAGTAGGAAGTTTTCTGTCAAATAATGTTAGTTTTTTTATTTTTTTATTTATTTATTTTTTTATTTATTTATTTTTAATAATTCAACTTATATAAATTTTTATTAGAATAGAAAGCTAATCGTGCTTAACATTGATGATTTTCATAATATACATGAGTACCGCCATAGTGATTTAACTTTAACACATTCAATTCTTCATTTTGTTACAGTATTGCTTAAAGCCTTGCCAGATACAGCATTAATTCCGAACATTGGGAATAAAAGCATTCACAATGAAAGAGGTATTGATGCAACCATTATTATTAGAAATGCTCACATATATTTTTTTCTCCATCTATGGCATAGTTATATAGTGCGAAGATCGACATTTAGCGATTTGATATTTTTATCTGAGATATATGAAGAACAGGTTGAACATCTCTTGGTTCATAGCTATGATATCAGAATCAAACAGCGTAAAGAAGACCAAAGTATGAACAATACCAAACTTGTTGAACTAAAAGTTGGACAGCAGAGGAATATGTAGGAGCTCTTCAAAGCTTGACAAATTTTGATGAAGCAAAGTCTTATTTGGAGAGTCAAATTTTGGTAGCACCTATGGATTTTCCCAGGCAGCTTAATGTTCGACGTGCTGTTAGTTGTAGAATTAAACTTGGAGATTTTTCTGGTATACCGGAACAAGTTCTTCGTATTGTGCCAATGATTGGGCCTTTACATGTATCTTTGAATAGTCGTGAATCTGTATTTCTTGTCAATTATACTTTTTTTGATAAGCTTTTCCATAATATTTATGAAAGCGAGAAGATATTGGCTAAAAAGCCAAAGCCTTACAAAATAAATCTTTTATTATAATTGGCGTTTAAAGGCTGGTCTCAAATCCAGTTGATTGTTCTACAGAAGTTTGAGCGGGTAAAAGATCCAGAAGCTAGATATTTGATTAACCTTCTGGATAATTTTATTCCATTGGTTTTGGACTTTTATCCCGTAATCTTTCGTAGTGGAAATTGGCCAGCTTATTGAGAAGCCATGTTTCGTATTTGGAGTATTTTTTATCAATACTAGCAGAAAAACTACAATAAGTTGCCGCTAGCTTTTTTAAGCGATGTGTTTTACTGGGATAGTATTAATCATCCTATTTCATAGACGTTTACTAATTCTCTTCATGTGTTTAATGATTATTATATAGAGAATTTTCATAGTTCGATTAGACGTCGAGTGCAACTATCTAACACCGCAGAGCAAATCATTTGGGAAGCACAGATAATAGATCGATGCGTAATAACAACACTTTTGCTGAAGCTTTCTCTGAGGATCATAATATTAGATATTCGGCGAGGCAACTAGAATTTCTTGAAAAGCGAATAGCAGTGTTTTTATTAAAACTTTTTACAAGTGTTTATAAAAATATAGATCAGTCAGTTTCAACAGGTTCGAAATATCAATTTCCAACGTTGGAGGATGACATCAACGTTAAAGCCTTGCCAATGGCCTGGAATACCACGTATCCTCCACGAAGCGATAAGTATTGCGATTTGGAAAATTGTACCAGGACTTGTGAGGTAGGATTGATACTTGTTTGTGGCCATTCTTATCACTTTGAATGTTTATTATTTAGGTTGGGCAGTCAATGTAAGTATTGTAAGTATTGTATGGACTATCTTGTAAGCAGAATCGAAAAAAACTGTAGAAGTTTTGATGAGAGTGTGAGGTTGACTGATATGATAATAGTTGAAGAGAGAAATGGTCAGAATATTACAGAAACTACTAAAAAAACTAGTACTGCCAAAGTTGATAATGTAATTTTAGATAGTAATATAGATCAGTTCTTTAATTTAGCTATAGACAATTTCAAAGCAGTATAGTTGTTAGTGTAAATTTGTAGTATGGCATACTATATAATATTGCTTTACTTTTTATTAATAAAAAATTCAATTTAATTATATTAAAAAAAAAAAAATTACAATCTAATCACGTAATAAAAAATTATTCACGAAATGGTAAAAAAACTAGAGCATGTCTAATTGTAACATATGGTGGTATCAATAAAATGCGATTATTAATTATTAATTATTACACCACATAAGTTATATTGATTATAATACTAAGTAAACTTTTACAAGTAACATGTTACGATTAAATGTGCCCTGGTTTTTATCATTTTGTGTAACCATTTTTTAACCTCACTATTGCTATGCTACATTTTGATTGACCGCCCTTCATATTTTTAGCTTGAAAATCTTTAATAATCAACACCGCATATGATTGGATAAAATCCCCGATCACGGCAAAAATGATCTGCAAAAATTAACCAATCACAGCAAAAGCCCGCTATGCTCCCGAGTCGTCTATATGGCCATTTACGGTACAGGGGCGACCGTCCTCGTTATACAAATTACAAAAATCTCCGATCAGGTGATAACCAATTAAAAGCGTGAATTTTCGTAATAAAAATCGTAGGTTAAATGTAAAAAATATATTGAAAACGAAGCAAAAAAACATTAA